CTAACGAACGTTACGTATTTATTCATGTATATCTCGAAAGTATATATACGTTGGCCGAGCGTGCCAAGTTTGGCCCTACGAAGGAGAACGTGGAAAGGAAGATTAAAGGTGGGGAAGATTAAAGGTTAAATTAGTAACCGAAACTGTAAATCCGTCGATCCTGGGTGAACGTGGATCGCATCGACGAAAGTTTCCTCGTTTTCTGTCTCACGCTGCGTCGTCGTTTCCAAAATTAGCTCGTGAGAGAACTGCTGACGGAGCTAGGTCGTTGAAACAATGGCTCCCCATTCGTGCGCCGAAACAACCGCTCCGAATAATGCTTCGATTCCTCGAACAAGGTAGGAGGTGGATCGACGCAGAGACAGATGAAGACTATAGTACGCATTTATACGGCGGCGAGGATCAAGTTTTGTGTCACGAGTTTAATGCCTGCGTGGAACAATCCGGCGACGGTACCAATTTCCTCGCGGCAATTCATCCAACTTCTATTGCAATCTTGCTTCCTGAGGCGTCGTTTGATACGGTAGTCCTGGGAAGGCAGCGCCCGCCGCTGTTGCAGCTGCAGCCGCTGCTGCTGGTAATCCTGCCGCTGCACCTGGTAGCGTTGCATACGTATACGGTGTCACGTAACTTGCCGCCGCTGCGTTCGCTGTAAAAACAAGTAAATCGTTTTCTAAGCTGTTGTACGGTTCACTGATTTAAGTGCAGGTAATCCTTCGAGGAGATACTATTTGCAAAATGCAAGCCTATAATTTTCAAGTAAAGTGGCAGAGAAATTGGTACACTCTCCTTGGCCATGGAATCTTCAACTTTTCACACGTTTTTAGTAAAATTAGAAAATCGAAATATAATTTAAGAAATAAGTTTTATCAATAATTAATGCATACACATCCACATTAATATTATAGTATCTTTGTTTTCATCACAAAATTTGCATTTCTTTTACGCAAGATCAATAAGATATTTTTAAAAATTTAAATGGAGCATAATTGTTTATCTTTTATAATTAATACTTTAGCATAATGATCTATTATCATTTATAATTCTATTGTTTTCTATAATAAATAATAAAATGTCATGTATGTCACTATATATATATTATTTATATTATTATATATTTCGTATGCAATACTTTAATAGTCGATAAAACTTGTGATTAAATTTTTCGTTCTAAATTTTATTAAAAATACATGAAACGTTGAAAATTTTGAGTCATTATAATAATTGGGTGACCAGAGACTGTACGTACATGCAGATTTCCATCAGTAAATCCAGACAGACACTTGAATTAAGATGTGCAATTTACTAGAAATGGCCTGACTATAATTCGTGATTGTTATACCACAATTTTAATTTCATTACTTTTCGTCTTAACGTAAACTCATATCGTATCGAAGACTTTAAATTTCGATACGTTAGTTGATAACATTCATTTAAATTATATACGTCCACGTGTTATTAATTTCAAGATAACCAGATAAATAAAATTGAACAATAAAATCATGCAGGAGAATTATATTAATGTTGCAGTAATCGTTTTGTTCAAACTATATAGTCATCTGGAAAAATTCAGATAAAACGTATATTAATAATAATATAATTATTTTTTAATAAGTGACACTTTTCGAAAGATCTATTATCATAGAAAATATATAATATTTAAAAATAAGATTCTCATCATTAAATAATTACAAAAGGATGTAAATTTTAGATTCATCAATATATACACCTTGTTGTAAAATAATTGAACACATTGCTTCGTTATATACATAAGATCTCTTTTCTTTGAATTCTGGATATATATATATAGTTAATCTTAGTTTCCAGCTCTAATTGGTTAGAATTAACGAGAGCCGTCATGCAAATTCTAATTATTAATCTTTAATGCTTTTAAATGCATATTTAGTTAAAGCATATTTTTGCAGTTTGGAATTATTCAATGAATGATACGACAATTCTTTCGTGATAATAGACCTTTCAACTAGTATCAATTTTATAATAAAATAATTGTATTATCATATCACTATTACACCATTTATCTAAATTTGTTAGATATCTGGAAACTTACGGATAGAGTTACTTATTAGTAACTTTTATGATAAACATCTTTTTATTAAAATTAGTAACAATTATTTATTCTAGTTAACTGTAATTTCATTGTTCTTGATAAATATAATTACATTTTATAAGATTATTTGTTAGACGCAAAAATTAGTTATAATAAAACAGTGTAAATTATTTAAAAAAAAAAAGAAACAATTCTTCTTGATTTTCAATTAAAGATTTTTCAATCAGCATGTCTAGTACAAAATGTGTGCCGACATAAAAATGTGAAGACTGAAAATTCGAAGAAGAACAATTATTAAATGAAAACTGCCTTCAAATATAAGAATTTTTCTTAAAAAAAAAAAATTTTCTTATCAAAATGATTCTAAAGCGAAATAAAACAACAAATGATAGATTTACCTAGAAAAAGATACTGAATTCATTTCTATAACTATCTCTTAAACTTTTTTCTCTCTGCCACTGTACATTAACACTTTTTAATTCTTTTTGAAAAATTAAATTACCAAATTCATATATACTTGTACTTATTAAAAATGTAATTTCTAAATTTTTTGTTACAGAATTACCTGCACCTCTTTCTCAAAAATATTGTTATTATAAATAACTGCTCAATTTGTACATTTTTTTTAAATTCTAAATCTTACGTTTGTCGAAAATTAAGTTTTCGACTCTGCTAAAACACTATCATCGCGTAATAAAAGCTTACTGACTACTGTCATCCATCGTGACATTTTTCCCACCACCACCGTAGACAGCACATCAGGGCATTAACAAAATTTGCATGTTGATCGTGTTGAATGCGAAGCCAGCTTAAGCATGCAATATTGCATTTTCACTTTCTTTCTTTTTTTTTTTTTTTTTATTGTGTCTGTTATACCGACAGCGAACATTCCAGCGCAAATTAAAGAAACCTCTGTACAAGCGTTTTCTCGTGTGATCATGTTCCTGAGAACGTACGAATAACATAAAAGTAATTGCTGATAATCTTGGAAAATCATAAAATTATCGTCTATTACAAGAAGCTTTGGAAGAAAAGGATTGCAGAAAGTTCTCCTGATAAATGCAAACTCTATTACTTCAATCTTCATCTAATCGAAAGAAACTACAAAACACATACGCCAATGTGAAGAAGCGACAAATGAAGTGAATAAAAATTCTTCTCAGCAAGATTCCCACCGAAGATATTTACTTTCTATCAATCTCAAAAGTCAATGAAATCAATGCTTTTTTTTTTTT